AAGGCATTAACCGCTCAAGTTCTAATCCTATGTCTCACGATATCATAATTGAACAAGGGCATGGTTTGAGCCACCCTTCAAGTTCAACCGCTTTCTCGTCTTGGCAAATTGACTAATAAAATAGATGCAACTTCATCTATAGTGTGGCTACGCATTTTTTATAGTCCGACTTCCACGAGAGGACCCAGCGATATCTCTCATGTTAAGGAGGTGACAAGTCCCATATTACATGTCTATTATCTCCATATGATTCGTGAACGTATCTGATCAACACCGTTATAATCATCCAGTTAAAGACGACGTTTGACGCAGTCAAGACACGCCACTCCTCATATCAGATACTCTAGATATCTCAGTATGAGGATCCAAGAACGAACCGATGTATGAGATTCAAGTCATGACTCTGTCCATGTGACAATCTCATGCGGGTCATCCAGTCACTCGTTCTCAACGAGTACCCATGATTGTGATCTGCATCCAATGCATCGATCACACCTCATGCTAGTCTTAATTCATCATTGTTCCCACAACGATAACTGACCAGGGAGTTTAGAATCATTCTCTAATGATTCAAGGATACCGAAATATAACAAACATGCCAATCATATAACGAAAAGTAATGTATTCATAAATCAATGAATCAATACAAAGTCGAAATATCATATCACGGATCATCTTAGAGCATTACAACCAACAGCGGGGTGTCAAACATTCCTAGAGGAAAACTGTGAGAAATCATCAACACAAACATATACGTACCTTTTTCCACCGATGTTCTCAATCTGGATTGGTCTCATTTGTTCCAAGATCTGTGATGTACAGATTTCTTGAACCCTGACTTGTTTAGCATGTTGAGATAACTCCGAAAGACCTTGAACGATATCTGGCCTAGACAATGTCACCAATGCACGAGTGTTTATGTGTCCCAATCGTCAGTGCCACAGATCTAAAGTCGTATCTTTTGCTTTGAAGCACTCTTGTTCCTTGATATTCTCATTTATCCAGGTATAAGAGTTACTTGAGGTCTTTCTCCCTGTGAGAATACACTCATTGGTTTGATTAGAAACAAAACATGCATTTTTGGTGAACTTTACCTTCAGCCCATCGTCACACAATTGACTAATGCTGATCACATTTGCTCTCAACCCTTGTACAACATTCACATCCTTCAGTTTTGGAAGTCCACTGACATTCAATGTCCCCTTACCTAAGATCTTTCCCTTTTTTCCATCGCCAAAGGTTACACTTCCTCCTTTTGTATTTTGAACAAAGTTCGAGAGAATCACATGATTTCCTGTCATATACCTAGAACATTCACTATCAAAATACCAATGATCATTAGTGTTTACCTGTTGAGATGTATAAGCAACATTACAGTGCAATAAATGCTTTCGTACCCAACATTGTCTGACTTGACCAGTGAGAGAATAGTGAGACTTACCTGACCTGAAGCGATAAAGATAGCAGTTCCTATGAATATGCCCACGTCTACCACAGTTGTAACATCTCCGAGTTTCAGTCCAAGAGGATCACATATCCTCCTTGATTCTTGGAGTTCGTCGAGGAAATTGTTGTACCTCACCTAGCTTTGGGCATTGTTATAACTCATCAGAAAGTTGTCCTCCACATACAAACATCCTGTCAATTTTGCTTGCCTCTCCAGAATACCCTAACCCAGTGTGGTTTGAGCTTTGTCTTCCTTGACTTAGAATGAAATCCAGTTTCTTTGTCCTATTTCCAAGCATATGCAGATTCTTCTGAGTTTCTTTGAGTTCTGACTCAAGTCTATTCTTCTCCTTAACAAGATTCATGTTGATGTCGTACATCTTCATCAAGTCATCATAAACATCATCAATCTTCAGATCAGCCTCCAGGTCTTCTGTCATCATAACATCATGCTCATCGATTATTCCGATAAATGCCACATAGTTGTTCAGGGCTTCCTTATCATCTTCCGACTCCGATTCTGAATCTTCATGATTAATTAATGATATCCCTTTCACCGAGGTTGTGCACTCATTCTTGGTGTGTCCAAAGCCTTTGCACTCATAGCATTGTACTTCTTTCAGGGTTTTGATCATTGCTTCCCTTTTAATGACCGATGGACATTCAACTTTCCAATGTCCATAACCTTTGCACTCCATACATTTTCCTCCTGATTTTCCTTCTATCCTCTGTGTACTGTTAGGTCTTCGTTTGAAGAGCTTCATCTTTTTAACAATCAGCGACATGTCTTCCTCAAGCTTATTTCTGGGTTCAGATTTCGGAACATGAAATGCAACTGGCTGTTTACGAGATGTTCCTGACTGAGTCTCATACATACTCAGTTCCAGTTTATGTGTCGCGAACACCCCTACAGTTTCTTTGAAACTAACTGTATCAGTATCATAAAATGTCTGAAAAGAGGTTTTCTGAGATAAGAACCTGATGGGTAAATTCGCTAGGAGTTTCTTCACTAGTTTTTTGTCAGAGTATGTTGTGCCAAGTGCCCCTGCCTCATTCGCCATATCACTCAGTTTACCACTGAATTCTTTGACAGTTTCATGCTCTTCCATTCTGAGTTGATTGAACTGCGCCTTTAACATGTCTCTTGTGGTGCGTTTCACATTTTTTGTTCCTTCATGAATTAATTCCAGCATGTTCCAAGCTTCTTTTGCAGTTTTGCACCCCTGAATTTGCTTAAACTCATCTGAAACAACAGTGTTGAAGATTATAGTCAGAGCTTTTGCGTTGAGTGTTGACGCCTTTTTCTCAATGGGGGTCCACTGAGAACTAGGCTTGATAACTTCCATCCCATCATCTCCAATGACTTTCGGAAAATCTCATCCTTCTTCTACAGCCATCCACGCATCTTCATCAAGGCCTCTAATAAGATTCATGACTTTCACCTTCCAGTAATCATAGTTACTTGAATCCAACAATTGTACCTTCACTAGCGGTTGAAATTCCTTGGATGTCTGCATTGTGCGTCTCTTATCCTGCACCGATATGCGAGAAAATTATCCTACGACCGGTGACCGGACTCTGATACCACTTGAAATAACTGACGCACTCAGATATCACTCAAAATCAATTCTTTTCATTCAAGGAAATCTGACTACTACAACATAGAGATAGTTGCAGTAAAACCCAGACGCACCACACTCCTCCTGAGTGTTAGCCCTCCTATGACACGATATCTATTGATTCAACACACAACCCGTGTGAATCCCCACTCTCACGTTCTGGGTTTGTTCAGATTACTGTTGTGAACTCCCCCTCAGAACAATCTCACTCACCAGAAATAAAAACGTAAAGAACAAAAACTCTTATACTCTCTGAATGATAATCTCTTAAGCTCTGTATTTTTCCAACCTCCTTCATGCTCCTTTTATATGCACACATCCAGATCTACTCAGATTCATCCTTATCTTTTATGTGATTTGTCTTTATCTCTTCAAGCTTTTGGTAGTTATCTTTTTCATCTGCAATTTAGATTCTCTCCAAATATCTCCACAATAAATCTAACTACCTGCAAAAAACGATACAAATTTTTTTAAACCAATCTACAAAACAATAATAAAAACTTTTTAATGATACAATTTTTTTTAAACAAATCTACAAAACAATGTTGAATGGGAACAATACTTTGATATTATATTAGAACTATACCTCGAATTTTATTTGATTACTGAGAAAATTCCAAACGGTCCATAAAATGTTAAAAAATGACTAGTAAAAAAATATAAAAATTTCTAAATGTAGAAATTAGTACGCAAATATAAACATTTTCATGTCTTCAATTCTTTCTAAACAAATTATATATACACGAGTTTAACAAATGAACTTATATTTGCAAAAACTATAATTTTAATCTATAGTCATTTTAAGATGAACAAAAATATGAATTATTAAACTACCCAACTTTATGAATTATATAAAATAAAGATCGAGAAGAATTCTTAAATAGTATATTCAAAAACTATAATCATAATTATGAATTTGATAATAAAAAAACCATGTTAATACTCGAAGATATAAAAATGTCGACGCGTAATAAAAAAATTAAAATAAAAAATAGAAAATAGATACGCATGTATGTATATATAATCATAATTATGGATATTGTTATGGGAAGACAAAGAGGTCGCTGCCTACTTTATTTTCCATCATATGAAAAACCGATGACGACAAGTTATTCTATCGTAATTTTTAATAGGCCGAAAAGTTAAGTAATTTTCATATAAATGTATAATATATTTTTCTCGACAGAATATATAATTTAGAATAAAGTCAATCATTGTACCATACGATCAAGATTTTAAAATTTTAAAATATAAAATGTGATTACATATATTATTTTTACTTCTAAAATTACTTTCTCTTCTAACATCAAATAGCCACTTTCAATGCTTTTAAAAATTAGCAAACTATTTGTAGCTTAAAATCACGAGTCACGAGTACTATTGCAACTATATACAATTATAACAGATATAAAACAATTAAAAAGTTGACATTTTGGGAAACCGTGTTTCAATTCGGTTATTTTTAGATTTTACTATATCGGGTTGTGAAAATTATATTTATTCGATTTTATTTTATTTTTTGGTTTAATTTAGATTCATTCTATTTGATTCGAGATTGATTAGAAAAGAATATTTATTTTTTAAAAATATTTTCTCCGTTCATATTAATTGATGTGAAGTGGGAGAATTCACATTGATAGATAGATTTGTAGGAAAAAGTTTCATTTGATATATGGCGGTCAAAATTTTGATAATCTAAATATTTTTTGTCGTCTAAATTTTAATATAATATAACAAAAAAATAGTATTAGCCCGCCAACTTTGTAGTAAACTTTTTTTTATGGTACCAAGTAGACAAAGTTTGAATAATAAATACAATTCTTTTTCTGTTTATTTCCTTGTCGCTATCCAAGATTCTTAAAAATTAGATGCTTCAACTCTACTCCACTAACCACAAATCATGCCTCCATGACCTAATCTGCTTATCCCCCAAAGTAACAACTCCTTTCCCTATTGCATATATAAGCAAACAAACCCCCTTTCACTCTCAAATCACAAGGAATCTATTCATCATCACATTCAAAATGCATACAAGCTTGCTCATGAAGAGCACTCTGTTCATCATATTATTAGCAGTTGCTTTCAATGTTGAGGCACTTGACCCTCACTACTATGACCACACATGCCCCCATGCAGAACTCATTGTCACCAATGCAGTCAAGAAGGCCATGTCAAATGACAAAACTGTCCCCGCTGCTCTTCTTAGGATGCATTTCCATGACTGCTTTGTCAGGGTAAGTAACTGGCTGTGTCTTGACAATGTATATGGACGTGATTGCTCAAGATTTCTTTGTTTGTTTTCCCGCCGAATAGGGGTGTGATGGGTCTGTGCTGCTGGACTCCAAGGGAAAGAACAAAGCCGAGAAAGACGGGCCTCCGAACATCTCGTTGCACGCATTTTACGTGATCGACAATGCCAAGAAGGCACTGGAAGAGCAATGCCCGGGCGTCGTGTCTTGCGCTGATATTCTCGCACTTGCTGCGAGAGATGCCGTCGTTCTCGTCAGTCTTTCGAAACCCTTGATAATATACGTATATTCCTTTCTCATAATTTGTAACTAATGTATGTGTGTGCAATTGTAATCAATGTAATGTTATAGTCAGGGGGCCAACATGGGAGGTGCCCAAAGGAAGAAAAGATGGAAGAGTATCGAAAGCAATAGAGACGAGACAGTTACCAGCTCCCACTTTCAACATTTCTCAATTACAACAAAGTTTTGGCCAGAGAGGACTCTCCGTGCAGGATCTTGTTGCTCTCTCCGGTAACATGCACAAGTGTATATATATCCATATATATATATGCGCAATCGATGATGTGTGCTTACTAATTCGGCGAACATTTTAGGAGGGCATACACTGGGATTCGCCCACTGCTCATCCTTCCAGAACAGGATCCACAATTTCAACACCAAAAAGGACATCGACCCGACACTGAGCCCTTCGTTCGCTGCGAGCCTGAGGAACGTTTGTCCGGCGCGCAACACGGCCAAGAACGCGGGTTCTACCATGGACTCCACGACCACGTCGTTCGATAACGTGTATTTCAAGATGCTCCTTCAAGGGAAGTCCCTGTTCTCTTCGGACCAAGCGCTTCTCACTGCTTCCTACACCAAGAAAGTTGTCTCAAAATACGCCACGTCCAAGGAAGAGTTCGACAAGGCCTTTGTGAAGTCGATGATCAAGATGGGTAGTATCAGTGGTAACGACAATGAGGTGAGACTGCATTGCAGCAGGGTTCGGTAGATATATATATGCTTGGTCTTTGAAGAAATGGCGTTGTTTGGCGTTGTGAAGCTAATTATTTTGTGATTTTGTGAGTGATGTCCCTCCAAAAGAAGAAGGGTGTGAGTGAGTTGCTTTTTAGTTCTTGTAATTTCATTTTCTCCTCCTATTCGCACCAATAAAATAAAAATATTAAAAAAATTCGAATAATGTATCATGCTATTATATACAAATTCAATGAATCTCGTCCGGCAATGCTAAATACTCTGTCATTCTGTTAACATTTTTTTTTAATGCAAAAAAATAGACCGTTAACAAATTGAAATTGACAGACCATCTCACAATTTTGGAAGGCACTTTTCAATATATATATATATATATAATATTTAGATACATTAATATTGATTGATTTTTATAATTTTTTAATCTGCTAACGATATCATCATAAATCATTTTCATTATTTAGTTTCAATGAGTTTTTAAATAAAATAAAAAATTCAAAAATATTTAATAGTTTTAAAAATATACTAATCTACACTAACGGCTAATTATCATTTGTCTAGCCCTTTTATACATGATGGAATTGCTATCCGATGATCATACCCTATCTAGAGAGCCAAATGGGTGAACGCAATCTATTTTTTGGTCCAACCCATTTGAGTCCGAAAAATTAACGGGTTGGACTGAGTCGACCCAATAATAATAATAATAATAGGTTGGCATGAATCGATTAATTAAACCCGTTTAAATCCATTTAACCCATTTATATACCACTTATATGTTGGGGTTTCCTGGGATCTCATAAACGAATCCTATTCCTAAGAGATCAGTTCTAGGGTTTACGCAGCGGATGTAAAACAAAAATTTTGATAAAACCCTAAAACCTAACATGCATGATCTTGTAGAAACGATAGAACGCTTACCTCAATCGATCCGGGGCCTGTATCAATTGATATGTTCGTCCGATCACTGTAGGCAGGAAGAATAGGAAGAATACCTCGCCCTCTACATGTATCCACACCTCGGGATGGATTCCAATCTTTGGAACTTGTCTGCTAGGACTTGAATCTTCTATTCGATGATGTGCTTTGAGAAAGAGAGATTAAGATCACTTCTTCAACCCTCTAGACTCTCCAAAAAGGTGTGAAGAAGTTCTCTTTTTCGGCTCCTTAGTGTTAGGGTTATTAATCTCCTCTTACTCAAGTGATTAACCCTAATTCCGGATTTTAAAATTAAATCCGAAACCCAGACCGAACGGACTGCTTAGTAGTCCGTTCAGTCTGGACACTTGGTCCGTTCGAACCAATCATATAACTAGGTCCGTTCGGTCTGACGGGTCAGTCCGTTCGGTCCAACACTTGGTCCGGTCCAACACTTGGTCCGTTCGGACTGGACTCTCTAGTCCGTTCGGTCCAACAATTTGGTCCATTCGGACTAGATGCTCCGGTCCGTTCGGTCCACTCCTGGACCGAACGGTCCAGACCTCTTGTCCAGATTTCTCGACGTTTTCTCGTGCATTTGTCCTTCCCTGCGTGTATGACCCTGTAGGCTCATTCGATATAGCAGTATAACCCGAAATCTCTATTCCGGATATACAAGTCATAGGCGGTCTCTAGCAAGACACTATGACTACCTATCTCGAATAGAGTTTGTTCGTGATCTTACGAACGCCGGTGATGATTCCGGTTGATGATCCTTTTGTATCACGATATCATATGTCGAATATAAGGCATGGACAAGCCACCTTATCTGATTCGACTGCTTTCTCGTTCACTGAGTTCGACTGTCTGAAATAGACGACGTTCGTCTATAGTGCGGCCACACATTTCTACAGTCTCGCTCACACGAGGGGCCCAGTGATATCTCTCTCTTTTATGAGAGGTACAAATCTCGTCTTGACTATCTACAATCCAACACATGATTCGTTTCGTACCTGATACACGCCTTTATAGTCCTCCTGTTACGCAGGACGTTTGACGTAATCAAAGCACGCAACTCCTCATGTTGGATTCCGTAGATATCTCAGGTCTTAGGATCCAATCATGGAATCGCCATATGAAATTCCAGTCATGACGCTAGTCCATGTGACAATCTCATGCGGGTCAATCCAGTATTCCGTTCTCCAATGAATACCTATGATTGTGATCGTATCCAATACCTATGATCATCTATATGATCATCAATCACACATCATACTAGTCTTATTATGTCATCATTCTCATAATGACACAAGACTAGGGAGTTTAGTATCATTAATAATGATACATGGATTTCATAATACATCTAGTATACAAGAACATGTAATGAATCAAATACTCTCATAAAACCTGTGGAAAGTATCAATACATCAAATGTATCAATTACATCATAGAGCACTAAACCAACATTATATACATGTATAGTTATAAGTATGTATATAAAACAAGAGTAACCATTTGAGTATTCGACTTTATAAAAATATATATTAATCGGTTATTTTATTATATTCGGTTTCGTTATTTATTAGAAAATATATATATTTTCTATCAAAAAATCTATTTTTTGGATATCAGGTTTTCGAGTTTTTTTGGTTCGGTTCGCAAACGGTATCAAATTTTTCGGTTCGATTCGAAAACGATACCGATTTTTCAAGGATCGAGTTTTGCGTACATATTATATATTTTTGTGTATGTACATATATACATAGATACATGTATATATATTATTATTTCTATATCTTTGTATAAGTAGTGGAGTTAATATTCACTATAAAAAAACTGAGTTTTGCAACGCAATAATTTCATTGCAAACAGTCATATTTCGTTGTAAATGAAGGTTTGCAATGAAATCACGACGAATTTTTTTGTGTTGCTAATTCATCATTGCAAATGATAAATCGTTACTTATCGTTGCAAATTACAACGAAATAGCAACGACAACAATTTCGTTGTAAAGTTTGCAAATAAATTACAATGCTTCATATTTCACTGCAATTTGTAACAAAAATGTTTTCATTGCAAGAGCGTTGCTTTGTTAGCAACGCAATTTCGTTGGTAGTGGCAACGTTTTAGAGATGAAATAATTTTGTTACAAATGTGCAATGTGTAGCAACGAAACTAATTTCGTTGCAAATAGCAATGCAAAGCAACGCTTGTAATGTTGCAAAATATTTTTAATTTTTTAAATTTCTGCATTTTTGCAACGAAATTTTATTGTAAAACATATATAGTAACGCTATTAGCAGCGAAATATTTCGTTGCAATATCTCCATAGCAACGCTATTTGCAACGAAATATTTGGTTGCAAACTAGAGTAATAAAATTAAAAAATATTGAAGATCAAAATCATTCAAATTAATATCAGTGCCATCATCGATCATCATCATCATCGGGAGGATCATTATTTCTACCACTATCCCCTGCACCACCGGTGTTGATATTCCCGATGTTTTGATCAACCAAAAGTTCGAGGTAGTTTTGTCATTGTTTCAACTCGTCATATTCTGCTCGCGATACAAAGTTGTTTTGCACCTGTTGCTCTAATTCTTGAAGTCGTCATTGAAGTGTGACAATCTCCTGAACAACTGGTGCTTCTCCTTCTCCGGCGACGGTGTTGATGATATCTTGTTTAAGCGACCCAAGTCCATATATGCAACAGTATTTGTTCGACTTGATGGTTTGTATTCAAATGACAAAGTTATTATATCTTTTATAACTAAATACAAACTCAGAATTAAAATATATATAATATTATTTATAATATATTTACTTGGACGTATAACTCATCGATTTGTTGTTGTGACAATTGCGTTGAACGCAATCGCTTGAGATTTTTCAAGCATTGTTTGCTATGACAGATAACATATATATCTATAAGATTTTATAAAAATTTAATGGATATGTATATATGTATATTTGTGAATTAAAATATACTTATCGCTTCTTCGATCTCGGTAATCAGATTTTTGGCGTTGTCGTCGATGATGCTACCATCTTTTCTAATATGTGTTACTTTTAATACATTCAGAAGCGATGGTTGTTTTCCACACGTTTTGGCCTACAATGAAAATATTTATAAGATAAACAGGTTCTTATATGTGTATTATATATTGTATATTTGAAAAAAATATATATTTACCAATGCATGCATGACCTGACTAAATGGTTTTTGTCCCGATGTATGCTTACTTGGACCGGTGTCGGGAGCTACGTCTGTTTTTCTACTTTGGATTGCCTTTTTACTTCTCTCAATGTTGATGGGATCTTCCCAGAATTCCACCATCTGGGCTCAGACCCCGCTTTCAATGTTCTTCGGCGGAGAACGATCTTGCTTCATTTGTCAATACTGTTTATACCTATTAACTTTTGATTTGAGAAGGTCCATAACACATTTTTTCCATGCCTCATAGACTTTTGAGGTATGGACTTCATCTCAATATCAAGATTGCTAAAATTTTTTATTGAAAATGTTAACGAAACGATTAAATATGAAATGTAAATTTAAAAAATAAATTTAAAGTTAATTCAACTTACTACGAAACTAGCAAACCAGTGTTGCCTAGTGGTTTCTGGTAATCTGAACCAATTCATCCAAGGTCTAGTGAAATTACTCTCTATAAAACTCGAGACGGAATTATTAACCTCTGATCGATATTAAACCTAAAAATTAACAATTAATTAATCTTTAATAAATTTGAATATAAAATTGAAAAAACAAAATTAACCAAAAAAATTACCATAATGCTCTA